CTTGTGCAGACAGACCAAATCAGCAAGCATTGCATGTGGGTTTGATAGAGTAACACCATCACAAATACTCTTTACCTGAGAAAGATGATCTCGAGATAAATTGGTCCCATCTTGTCTCAGGGGAAAGACCCCCTGAATACTATTTTAATTAATGATTTGCTTGCACTCTGAACTATTTCACAATTGCAAAGTAGGTCAAGTCACTCTCATTCACAAAGCAATTTTCTTTATTTAATTATATACATTACTGGGACTAGTACTGTACATCACATGAAAATAATGGAAATTTTCTTTTTCCTTTCAGTATAAAATACATAAAACATTGGCAAACTTTTAAGAACTACAGCAACAAGGCCATAATTATTTGCTGCTCACTCAAATTCAAATTTGAGTGGTTTTATCAATAATATATCACTTAAACTTTTCTAATCTATTCTATCATGATTCTTGTTCAACGGCAGTCTAGTCTGAAGAATAAAATCAAATATCTTTATACAATAAATTAATTTCTGTACATCAACATTGCTTGCCTTTCCAGTCAACACCATGGAAAAAGCATTTGGATAAAACTTTACCCTTTGCATTCTTAATAAAATGGACACATCTTTACCCTCTGTATATTTCTCAATAAAATTGAAACAAGACCCATTGTAATTTTTTTTGTTAACAAAATAAATCTCTCACATAATGTGCTTAGTTATTGCATGAGTTAGATGACAATACTCAGTCATCGACACTAAAGCATAAGCTGGCAAAGGCATGCCCAGCGAAGAATTATTAAACCATATAAAAAATTTCTTGCCAATTTTAAATAGGTTTGTTTTTCCACTGAGATCTGAGTTACCTTGGTGACTATTAATACATATTATATTTTTTCCATAAATATGTGTTGATCTCATGTCTGAGTTTAGTATCCCATACACATTGTGGACAAAATAAGCCTGATGCTGTCTGTTTTTTGTTTCTGTTTTTTTATTTTGCTTTTCTTTTTTGTTTTAAGGGAAGAACCCTCAGTGATTTTACCCATGATTACAAAATCATGTCAAAGACCACTATGATTCTACTCAATAAAAATAAAAATTCTCATCAATAGCTCTCGGTAATTAGACCACAGCAGTTTGTGCAAGAGGCACTAAAAGCACTCCTGGAGTTCTTCAGTACCACTGAACTCAGATTCAACATCAGTCTCATAACCATCTAAGATGACATAATCACAGGAAACCTCAAGTGCTTTCTCTACATTACTTGATCCTTGGCTCTGTCTTCTTTCCAAATTCCGGTTGCGGCGCCTATCACTGGCAGTAATAAAAGGGCTGTTATTGACATTATCTTCCCATCTCATTGCACTTTGGATTAAGCTTTCTGCATTTTCTGCATCCAAAACTTCGATGTCACTATCATCATCAAGATGCTTGACTTGCCTTACATCAATGTCACTAGTACTTTCTTCATCTATGGGACTGATGTCCTTCTGCCACTGTCCTGAAGTTATGGCACATCCAGGCTTTTTCCTAAAGAAAACAGAAGAGAATTAGTTAATCCATCTCCAATGTAAGCACAGTTTAAGTCCAGTGTTCAGAGGTTGAAATAAACACATTTGCTGAATGGTGGTGTCCATATGAGAGTGGCAATATTTTGTTTGCAATCCAAAGAATACCTACCAGCACTGGACTTGATGTTTGTCCTGATAAGTATGTATCACCATGTAGACCATAGATAACAGTTCATCAAGGAACTCATTTCCTGTTTTCTCCACTTTTGGTAGTGATTCTAGGATTCTGAAGGAAAGAAAAATAACAAGAATTAGATTTATTCAAAGTCTCCAACCAAATATTGGCAGTGCACACCAAGAAAAACTTACATGTTTGCAAGATGCGAGATCTGTTTCAGAGAAATCACACATGGTTTTGTTGCAAGTTTTAACACCCAAAACACTCGGCGAATGAAGAAGCATGACCAAAGTTCTGCCTCATTTACAGCCTCACTTGTGCGATGAAGTACTGGTAAAAAAATAGATATTCAAGAATTAAAAGAATGGTTCTCCATATTATATACATGTGAAATTTAACTGTACGTATTATTGATTTACTTCTTACAGGAGTTTAATGAAGTAATTCCACATTCTTCTGTTGTTTGAAGTTCTCAAAATTCTAAAAGTGACTAGCATCTAACATCAACCCTGTATCACACATTGAGGTCAAAAGAATAAAGGAAATGATCACCAACTAAAGCAGTTATTCATGTTGCACAAATTCTCCTTGTGGTACTATGGGAAATGTGTGAAGAACAGTCTGAGAATAAGCATACTGATATTAGCAACTTAAAGGTAACAGGTAACATGAACTTACTGATGGTCAGCTTCGACTCTCCTTCCTCATTCTCAGTTTCCTCACTTTCGGAACTTGTAAAAACATCTCCCTCTCCACTACTGTATGAGGTGTAAGCAGACAGTGTGCTGACACTGATTTGTCGTTTGTCTATTCCATGACTTGACTTAGACCAAGATGAGGGAAGATACTGAGACATGGAAGGCCTGTGCACTGGTACCTTCTTTAGGGTCTCTGGATCTGGAAAAAAATCACCAGTCCACTTAGTTTCAACTGAACTAGTTACAAGAACAATACATAATGCCTTGATTGACTGTCTATTATCTGTCAATGTGTTACATTTACTTGTTGACCGCTTGCAATGCACTTGTAAACTTGCTTCAAGTTGTCATACCTATGTTACAACTCAAATTCAAGGCTTCTACAGCTTTACAGTAGTGATGATAATGAGGATGGCTGTAAAATTATAATAATTACCAAACCTCACCCCCCAAGTTCCTAAACTAATTAACAAAAGACGAACAAAGAATACTTTGAATTGAAACAGTGCATTTAGAGACATCCACTTACAATGCTGCTTCACAAATCTCAATGTGTCTCTGTATCCTTGCTTGCACATATCAAAGAGTACATCTGGTTGTGGAGGAAAGAATGCACGGGAACACCTGTAGAGGTTCTGTAGTGTAAACTGCATGCTGGTATTTCGAAGTTCAATGTGAACGTCATTTGAAGAACTGTCTTTGGGACAGATGTCACTCTCTCCACTGAAAGGTGAAACTGTTATGGTTTCTCCTTCTTTGAAGTGCTGTGGGAGATTGTCTGAAATTCCTCCATCTACATAGTACTGAAAACACAATTCAGTCAATTAGAAACAAGTTTTGGTGTCTAGTAATGTGCAAGCTGAACTCCACAAACAGAAGAGTATTCTGAACAATAACATCTTGTCTAACAGATAATTTTATTATAAATAATCTCTTCAGTATTTCAATTTGTTTATGGGATTTAGGTGGGCAATAGCCATCTGAAACTGCCTGAAATAACTCTGTTACACAAGATATATATTGCCACTAAAAGGAAATTTTCTGTAGTTGTACTGCTGATCATAGAGATTAGATTTTCAAGATGTAGATCTTCCATTATCATCCCCTTTACACTTTTAAAAGAAGTTAAAAAATAGAATTCAGTGCGCATCTGACATTACAGCCCTTGTGCATCCATGATACAAGACACTGACTGTGCTCCAAATAAATCTTTTAACTTTATTTTCTTTTATGTGATTGACTGTCCACTGAAAAGAAAATCTTGTTTAATACCTATCAATAAATATGTCTGAGCCCCACATATTTAGTTAAGATAATTAATCCTGTAACCTTATCTCACTCAACATTAAGGAAAAACAGGAAACTTTAATAAAAGCACATGACATCATGTTAATATTTACCTTTCCCCTGAATTTTGCAGGAAAGATTCCGGAGTAAAACGGAACATAGGAGCTAGCAATCAATGCCTGAAACAAAAGATAAAGTACCTAACAGTCATTGTCTTGAATAATTAAAATTTATATACAGGTACTTGTACATAAATGAGGAGTTTTGGGTGGGAGGTCATCAGTAAGGTGATGCAACAGATCCCCCTTCTGTTGATTTAAGCACAAGGAGGCATTGATTCATCATTTAGGAATTATGAATCTGTCAGAGATATTTCGCTTTATAACTGTTACAGCAGTAGTTGTTTTAAAAAATGTCTGTTTCAGAACTGTCTTTGGAAATGACACCTATCCTTGATAGCAAAATTCATCACACACCCACACACACAAAAAAAAAGAAAAAGAAAAATGGACATTGTTGGAAACAGATGGTATAAGGTGTACATGAGTACTGTCTGACTAAGGAAATTCTAATTGAAATGGTTTGTTAGGATTTTAATGCTTCGAATCAACAGTTTAGAGCTGGGAACAACTCCTAGATGTCTACAGATTGGTGATAATCCAAAATCAACCAGCTAATTTGTCAGTTACATAACTTGAGTTTTAGAGGTGGCAATGGAATGCAACTTGAGATGAGATTGTGGGGGGTTTTGACCACCCAATACCAAGGTATACAGTCTTTTTAAAATTCCTACAATCTATTTTTCTCTTGGTGATAGTCCATGAGACTGCCTTTGATGGCATCAAATTTCTTGCACTATCTACAAATTATACTGTATTTGTCATAAACACTGCTTGAGATTTTCACTTTAAAACGAGATGATGCAAATTACGAAGATGAGACTACATGTTTATTCATATATGCATCAAATCTCTTTTGGCATGTGCCGCACTAGACCAATAACAATTCAACAGATGTGAGCAGAACTTTCCACCTCCAATAGGTAGACAGATTGTAATTTCTCTAGTATCAAGTTAACCGTTGGCAAGTTACAGCATGCCATCCAAATACCAAGCAAATGAATGATTAATATCATTACAAATACTGGACTGTCAGGAACATTGAAAAGTTAGCATAAATAAGCAACTGAGTGCCTTATACAGCAAAAGTTTTTATTACCGTAATGTAGGAAATAGATCGATATGGTGGGGCTTGTGCTCTAAAATATTTCCAAATCCTCTTTCAACAGCACGACAATACTCTTGTAGCCATAACAAATCCTCAAAAAATGCGACGCGTTTAGCTCATTATTATTTTACACACAATCATCACAAAGACAAACTCCAACTTGCCGCGCGAATAAATTATGTGAGCAACAGACATCGGCTGAGCCTTCATTACAGAAATAGTTCCTTAACTCAAAAAAAAAAAAAGAAAAATTAACATATCCTTTTCATGAAAATAGGATCGTAGAGTCGCTCTTACGGAGTTTCATCACAGAGTTTCATATTACGCAACTGGAAAATACCACGCTCCGAACGAAAAGCACGCGAGAAACCTTACAGAATTTTATAGCCGTGAAAAGTAGGTCGATAAAAGGTCCCTGTTGACGATTTTTTGTTTTGAAGGGGAACAACTGGCTGGGAACGACCGTGGCTTTACTCTATGCAAATTCCCTTCAGCGCGAGCGACTATAAATCCGTTTGAAGATAATGAATTTGCGACATAGATGATTATTACGAAACAACTCACCTCAACAAGATCTTCTTTAGAGAAGAACTCAGACACAATAACGTTTTTGAGATCAGAAACTCTTGTTAACGACAGATGAAGTCTTCCACTGGCGAGTTCATGTGCGTTGGGTGGCAGAATCCTTTCGAATGATCGACGAAGTGTTCTGACGACATTAAAACTTGGATGAAGGGGTCCAAGCGTCAATGAATTCGCTCTTTTAGCCAGTCTGATTACAAACTCAGCACTGTCACTAACATCTAAGTCTAAAAGCAACGCAATCGCGGCGAAGGAACCCGCGCTCGCGCCGCCATAACATTTTACTCGTTTCAAGAGCGCCGGAGCGTTTTCTTTCAAACACGACACAACTCCTAGATGGTAAATTCCCAAAAAACCACATCCAGAAAACGTCAAATTTAGATCTTGAGCTTCAGTCATGACTGAAAATTATCCTCTTGACTTTTCACAATGGGAATTTCAGGCGAAATCTTACAAGAAAACGAGGAAGAAGCCGATAAAATTCATGGTGGGCTCTTCGATTGCGTTGATAAATATACTTTCGAATTGCGTGTTGTACGCCTAGTTGCCGCCCCTCTCAATCCCACGTACGCCCCTTTTCTGATTGGCTGTCACCCAAAGAGTTTTTCAGGTAACCAATCAGATACAAGCATGACAAAGCTGTTCTTTCAGTTGATGAAAACGAAAAAACAAGATCGTCAAACCGGTTTTATGACAAGTTGACTAGAAGTGACAAAAAATACCTGCTGGTTTCTTTTCCTTTTCCTTCACGTGAGATTCGCGATTTATGCCTCAAAGGGAAAGGACGGGTCTTGGAATTTTTCAAAATGTTAACTTCTATTCACAAGAGTTCGTTGCAATTTTCTTATTTTTTCTTTTCTTTTTTTTTTTTGTCAACAAAATCTGATGCACTGTTCGACGATGCATTTTGTCTGAGAATTGGCGTAGATCAATACAGTCATTTCCTGTCCTCGCGTGCGTCAATATCTATGCAGTGTCTTGTGACCGCAAGAAGAGGAAATGTTTTTTTCTGACATCGTGCTGTTCATTTTTCCTTTCTTTTCCTGCGCATGAACTTTAGAGGATAGGCCAGTAATCGCATTAGGATTTTTTCAAAGGCATGTCGAAACCCGCCAGACACTCGGAAACATTTCATAACCTACTCATCAGGGGGTCAGTCAGTTCGACTTTCTGTTGCGAACAAACTTTACCCATTGCCGGACATCTGGGGGGGCATTTGCGGAGTCGGTAAAGATGGCTAAGGAAATCCAATAAACGACGCGGAAAAGGAATTATTTTGTCACGCGCGTTTTGTTTCTTTTACTTGTGAAATAGCCCTCTGTTAAGGAAAAGGAAAATGTTTTACGTTTTGATGTACTTTATTTTATTTCATTTTTCAAAGACCCAGTGCTTTCGGCGGGATTAGTATGCCCCACAATTGTACTAGGGAAAGAGAAAAGACAAGAAAAAACAAGCTCCGGATAAGATCTTCCGAGTTTTAAGGGATGCTACGTGATCTAGCTTAATGTATAAAACCGCTAAGGGCCCCTGAAGGCCCCTAAAGGCGCGCGCTCTGATGAAGCTTGTTTACACTTTCAACTTAGCCATAAACCGCAATAACGTTTCACTTACTCTCTTATTATTATCATAATGCTAAAGTGTTTCTTTAAAAAGCAGTCTTTATAATTTTTGTCCCAACAGACTTTATTCAAATGAGGCTTAGCTGTTAATCTTTTTTCAAACAAAGCCAAAAACAATAACTCAGTCAGAACCTCCAGCAACGCCATGTGAGTCACAATAAAGCCCTTGTGTGGCATGTGACCGAATACTCTCTCTCTCTCTCTCTCTCTTGCACCAGGGTTCAGTCAGTTTAAAAGAACACTCGGTGAGTTCCCCTCTTCGCTAGTATTAACTATTAACCGTCGTGAGAACGAAAGATAAAAAAAATAAAAGAAATGCGGAGCTAAAACTTGGGACAGATAAGGGCTTTCTCCTAGTGGATTTTATGCTGTAATTGTTTAGCTAAAAAGTCATCTGTTTTCCTCATAGATTAGTGGTCACGTCCACTGGGTATTTATTTCACCCATGAAACTGTCAACGACAGAACCTAAGAAGGATAGTAGATGAAGATTTGATACTGTTACGTCTGTTGTTTACATGTAAGAACATGAGGGGTGCAATCCGAGTCTTTCCTCAAGCAGGGAGGGCCTGCAGAGGAGGTCATGAAACAGGACTTAGAGTCAGACGTTTGCTTCAAATTAAAATAAAATCCAAAGCACTATCCAAACACATAATTCCTCGCTTGTTTTTCGGTTTCTCAACCATATGCTCAGAAATTTCTTATAGAAATCTGGTATATTTGGAACCAAGAGAAGTAAGTTCTTGCTTCTCTTTTTCATGTTCATTTGATTTGTGCAAGTTAGATTCACAGAAGTAAGTTACCTTTAGTTTACTCAGTAAACGAGGAAAGTTTATTATTTACTGCGACAAGCCCAATTTGTCGTTAATCCAGGAAATGAGTGTATTGCGCCAGCTAACCGTAATTCTTAATTCTTGAGACGCGTCGGAAGTGATTTTTATTTTGGCTTAATCCGTTGTTGTAGAAGGTAGCCGGCCACTGTCAAGTCATTTTTATGGCGTGGTGTTCAAGATCCTTAATTTCTCGGCCGCTTTCTATTCAGTAATCAGACTTTTGCTTGTCTCGTACAATTTTGTCATTTAAAAAGCTGGTTCATAAAAGCTTAACTAAACTTAATGAAACAAAAAGGGTTTTTGACACATTTTGTCTCAGAAATAAACTTAACCGTTAAGCCGATCGGTCACAGGTTAATATCTGTGTAGAAATATGAAACCTTTGTCGGCACTATCGATACATGGATTCCCTTTTCCCAAATTGCCCAAAACTACTTTGTAAGGACTGTCTGTAAGTTACGCGAAGTTCGGAGAACATCATAAGTGTGATTTTGTTTGATTTAACTTTGTTTATACACCAGGAATGTATCATATTAGGGTCATTTTTACGAAAAATTTTGACTCTTAGTTTCTATCCCACCCCTTCCTTAGTCGAGGGAGATTCTCCTCCCCCCCCCCCCCCAGGCATGAAGACGGGTGTAAGATACAAGCAGAGCCAAGGGAGGCGTAGCCAGGAAATATGCACGCAATTTCGTGCGGCACTGACGTGGTCTTTTCTAGAAAAACTTCTATCTTTCATCTTATACATGTGAAAAACAAAAATTGCATGCAAACCTTCGGTGGCTACTCTTAGAAACCTTGGTCATCCCCAGTGCACTGATACGTTCGTGTTGAGTAACTGTTTCAGACAATCCAAAGCGGTTTAAGAACTCTTCTCATAGAAAAACGTTGCCAGTGTCTGTAGTGTGTGTGTGTGTGTGTGGAAAAGTTACATGGCTTGTGGGTCTTTCTGTTACCACACGAAAACTCCGACTTGAGCAGCCACGCCTAGGAATGAATCAGGATGCCAGTTTATCCGGCTTTCCTCTTCTCCGCACAGAAGTTGCGCAAAATAATTTTAGATGCGTGCACGAGCTTGCAACATGTAACATTCGAAAGACGACCTCAAATAACTTCGTCGAGGAAATGCACGAGATTTTTCGAAAAAGTCGAATTATTGTACTACTTTCTATTTCTATGAGTGAGATTTCGAGATCGCCTTTCTAGTGAGGATCACAACTTCAGATTAGTAAGGAGAAGTTTTGGTTGCACGTGAGTCGAATTATTCTCCGCAGACGCACGTGTTGTGTCAATTAAAAGTTGTTGTCGTAAGGAACTGATATTATTTGTCACCTGGGTGAGGTTTCGGTGATCACATGGTTCTCAGGGGGAGCGGAGAAGGGGAACAGTCATCACCGACAGATTATAAAGGGGGACTATAAATAATTGACTGCTAGTGAACTGCTAATAAGTTGATATCATAAGCCATTGCAGAGCTTTATAGAGGGGGGATCATGTAAATTGATTGTGACACAACCAATATCCTCCACCCGCCCCTCCCCTACCCTCGCATCCCACCGGGGCCAGCACAGACGATAAAAAATGAACAGTTCCAAACCAAAACATTTGGTTTCTTTATTCTACATTTTTATTTCCCTTCTCCAGGAATCTTGTGCCAAATGAAGTGGCGGTATACACCTGGAAATCGCACCATGGCAACCAGCAAACATTTGTCGTTTTTGATGTTTTGTGTGGTACTTGTGAGTGTGGCTATAGTCATGCGGTACAGTGTCCCTTGGGGTGTGGCCATTTTAACCATAGCCATCTCCTGGTTTTGTTATGACCACTGCCATGTTGCTCGTATCAGCAGTGTAGAGTTTTACAAACTTCACACCGTGCCACAGTACACCAACGCTGCGACAGCTCTCGTGACGTCAGAGTGGTCCGTCCCTGTGACCGCGGAGGGTATCGAGGAACCCAACTATGTGCGGACATCCAGTATGATCGAATCACGTGATACCTTCCCCTGTCATTTGGTTGCTTTGGCCACGTTCGGTGGAGTGAAGCAAGTTATCGCTCATTGTGTTTTACGAGAGACTTCCGCCTCCAGGTCACCTGACTTAAATAAATTTTTAAGAATGCTGAGGATGAGACTGCCGCTTCCCGCGGTTCAACAGTCTATGGAGGTTGCAGGTTTAGATTCATCGGTGCTAAGTGCGAAAGATATCAGCGAGTCTGAAATTGTGGAGACGCCTACATCAAGTATAGTTCATAACGTTACACTGTCCTCCCTTGTTGTAAAGCCCGAGTTTCGTGGTCAGGGCCTGGGCAAGAGCATGTGTGCATATGCACTACAAGTAGCTTCCGGTCTCGGAGCAATCGAAATTATCGGAGGCTGCAAAAATAAGTTGGTTGCCTTTTACGAGAAGATCGGCGTTAAAAGAAGAGTTGGTTTAAAGAGAAAAAACATACCAAGGGTTCGGCTTGGCAATGAAATGTTTCTAGTGATAGACAAGGAAGCAAGAAAACAAGCATCAGAGATATTAGCCATGACAAACGCTAAATGCTTTTAACACCGGAAGGGTTTGCGGCTGTTTTTTTTTTTTTTTTTTCCTTTTTTTTTTAATATAACTATTTGTTTTCGCGAATGAGAATTAAAACACTTTCCATCGTCATCTAAGCCATTACGCATTACCAGAAAGACAAAAAATTAGGTAAAATAAAACACAGTCCTTGCTTCGTGCCTACAAAAGAGTGGCGCTATTCGCGCTCCTCGCTCAGGCTCGGAAATCGAACTTTCTATTTACAGTGCAGATGGAAAAAATAGTTCAGTGCGATATCAAAAAAGCAGGATCTTTCGGGGCCAATTATTGACTAATTTGAAATAAAAGGATGTTAGGGGGAAAAATTAAAAGCTCAGTTGATTTTACTTGATTATTGGACGGGGAAAATTCTTATTGGTTGAAGCTACGTGAATCTTTTCTTGAGAGACAATTACTTTTTCTTAGTCCTAAGTTCTTATTGGTCGGCTGGACAGCAGACTAGTTTGTTACTTGCGAAAATAATAGACACGCCGATCGAGCAAATATTCATTAATTGCTTAAATGTTTTTAAAGTGTAATCCAATCTTTTCGTTAAATATTGTAGGATCGATTTTACTGAAGGTGGAATTTGACATTACTTGACTAGACCCTTTTTACTTCATCTCCGAGAGAATTTACATTTTTTTCCCGGTGACTATCTTATTGCCACAGTAGATGTCTGTTTAATGTTTAGTAGAATTAACATCACCGAAGAAAATTAACTGTCCATTCAGGAGGAAGGAAAAATAAAGACCAATGTAGTTTATTTGTCAAATTTTGAGACAGGTGAAGAGAGCTTTGATCTCTAATGTAGCCTAGGTCATTTACATAAAAATAACCGCCCCATGTTTTCAACCATCTGCCACATCTCTGCGGATGAGTGGGTACGATGAGAGATCTTTGGTCGTTCTTTGCCGTTTTTTGCCTTTTTATAGGCGGGCTGAACGGCTCCCAAAGACGTAAATCAAGATCGCTTTGTCATCTTAACAGCGCCGAGTCTTTTTACGACTTCACTACGAAAGATCTAGATGGGAAAAATGTCTCTATGAGCGAATTTCACGGCCATGTTGTAGTGGCTGTGAATGTCGCTACCTTTTGAGGCTACACTTTACAATATTATCAACTGAATGCATTACAAGAACGACTTTGGAGATCAGAAGATGGAAACCCACATGCTTGTGGACTGCGAATTGTTGGTTTTCCATGCAACCAGTTTGGTTCCCAAGAGCCGGCGGAAAACTCATACGAGCTTATGAACGGATTGAAATATGTTCGGCCTGGACACGGTTTTGTTCCCAATTTCCCATTGTACAAGAAACGAGACGTGAATGGCGAGAAGGAAGACGAAATTTATAGTTTTTTTAAGGTAGGCTGGTATATGCTTTATTTCTATTTGGCTAGTAAAGTTGTAATCCATCAATAATCAAAGAACAATGTTGTTAGGCGTCGAAAGATTTGACATTCATGGCATCTAAAGAAATCAGCATTGTTTTGCCCGCGGATTACCCGAGCGTGAAGCGCTAAGATATAAGTTTGAGAAATGGCGCAAGAGAATTTCGTTTAGGGAAGCTAAAGTCACACTAGACGCAACACATACTGAGGAAAAAGCTAAATCACTAAATCATAACATGATCTACGAACTGATCATTTCAAAACCAAAGTTAACCAACCTGTAGTCGTGAATATTTCATTATGAAAGACATTATTCTTCAAAGAGAAACATATGCTCAATATCAAAATAAACCTCATACACTCATGCAGAAAGCACTCGTATTATTATATATCTTCAACTCTAGCAATACGATATTTTCGTCCCTAATTACAGTTAGGAAAGGAAACGTACGCTACATGGCCTCTGAGTTCATTGCAGACGTGTGATTCGTTTTGTGATTTTCCTTCATAAGGATTTCAGAGCATTCAGCTATTGTTTCAATCCTTGTGGTTACTTCGGTACTCAAGCAGATTGTCAGCAGTCACAGTTCAAAGAAAGAAAGGCGTTTATATTTCCCTTTTCACTTGACATTTGATTTCAACGTTAGGGCAATTGAGTAATTCGTCTATACCCTGTCAGATGCAAAGGTACCCACCATAGTAATTTTTTTAAATTATTTTTTTGCCAAGCGCTCAATTAAAAACACTCATTGCCGCAATCGCAATCGCAATCGTATTGAAAAAATATATATAATTTATCATCTGAGCACAGCGCTACATAATATCGTTGAATATGTTGTCAGGAGACTTCTTCTTTTCCTTTAAAGCAAAAAAGACGTCCGTTTTATTCCTTATTGAACTCAACATATTTCGCGTGAAGAGACAGACTCGAGAACAGAGCAAATACAAAACCATTAATCAAAAGTGAACCAAGTTCACAGTCAGGGAAAATAAGCGGAAAACAGGAGTGCGAAAAACCGACAGGGATCAGGCGAAAGAAAAAAGGAAAAGAAAAAAGGAAAAGAAAAAAAAAAAGAGTGGTGTGAAAACACATTTCGTTCCGCGGTCGTTTCCCCGACAACCGTAACCGTCGTTTGTCGTTCACTCAGCCTTCCGTTTGTTTTCAGTGACGTACAGAAAATCTTGAAAAAGCCCTAAATCTATTTTAATTAATTTCTGCAACAATTTCTTATTATCTGTATCTTTGTCTCTTTTCAGTCCCGTTGTCCCGCCCCTGACAGGTTCATAGATGACATAAGTAACATCCGCTGGTCACCTGTTCGGAACGACGACATCAATTGGAATTTCGAAAAGATATTAATAGATCACGATGGCCAGCCATTTGCCCGGTACACTGCGCCTTATGAACCAAACGACATGTTGGAAGATATCAAAACACTGATATTAACTTGCCAAGGACAGAGAAGACGCAAATATAATCTGTAAAAGAAAACGGATCTGGACAAAAGAAACTCGTTGGGGTTACTAGTTGAACTTTTTAATATTTTTGTTATATTTATTTCTCACAAAATTCTCATTTTCATATTTTATTCATTCGCACATGCAAGAGTTATGTTCCATGGTGTTCAAAGGAAATTTTTTTCGGGAAGAAAATTGCAGGTCCATACACTGAATAGCCCTTTCCAATTTATAATTACGTGTTACGAAAGCTGGCAGGATACATGGAAAATCTCACACTTATCGTACAGTGTGTTGTTTTCTTTCTAGCAGCGAGGAACTAATGCCATTCTCTGCTTACGACCTCTACTGGCTTGTTTAATATTTTTTTTCTGCGAACAAAAGAAGTCTATTTCAAAATAAATTTATTGATGTTTCACAAGGAAGAAAAAGAGAAAAACAGGTTTAATAAGTAACCTTAAATTAATATCGAATTGGTGTAGAGTCTAATTTTAAAATTTTCTGTTAAGAATATATATTCAAGAAATATTCTTAATTTAGGGCGTAAATGAAACTAAGGGGCACATAACATGCACTGTTTTAGAAATAATCAAGTTATTGTAGATATAGCTCACGTTAATGACGGACTGTTTGTAAACTGTTTGGTCAGTAAAGCAGTCCCGAGTAAAGTTCTTTTCTCTGTGCAGTCTTTAATGCATTCAGCTGTTACAGTGTAAAGAACCCTTTAAGCTTCTACAAAACGTGACCTTGAACAGTGCAAATAAAATGACCAGAAAGAACAATATCATGTTATGAATTCTTTAATCATTGCAACTTTGAATACGCTTAAAGATAAATATTCTGTGAGGATAAAACTGTGATATTTTGATAAACATCTGGACTGAATTCAACCTATTGAATACTTATGCTGCAGAACCAAAAAGACAAAGTTTTTTAACTGAGTTTCCCTTTCTCATTGTGATTATCTCGTTGCTTATTTGAGGCTGAACGCCTATTGACATGTGTTACCTACAGAGTGGGCGCTTATTCGAGGTGGGCGACAATGGTAGGAAGACGCTAATCAAAACTACTTTCCTTCCAACTTCATCAAAAGCTGGTTAGGATCATAATGAACATCAATTGATTTGATTTTTAGGTTCTCGTCCACCTCGGCCACAGCCATTCCATACATTTCAAGTAGTTCGCCCGTCGGGGTCCTTCCCTTGTACGGGCCCGTCCAGTGAGCCCAATGGCGCCACGAAAAGGCCACCCGTGGAGGTCCTAAGGGGCAAAAACAACCACATCAGTACAAATTATGAAACACTTTGAAAAACTCTGCATTTTTGCAGCCCTTTCCCACAAAAGTGTTTAATCTCCACTCAGGATTATATCAGTATATACCTGCTAGACTTAGTATTGCCAGCCAAGACTCTAACTTGAACAAACCGTAACAGAAGTCATTCATTTACCTGAAAACACTTCTATCAGTTCCCATGGAAACCCTTGGTCGAATGCAGACCTGAACATATCATGTGACGATTTAAACGAGTGAACATTACTGTCGTAAAGTGGTTGGTTTTGCATCAGTACGTTATAGTTTCCTTCTTCAATGCCTTCCTTCACAGAAAACGAGCGCTGGTTGTTCGCGCGGATGGTGAAAACTTCTACATCAACACTTTGCCAATCCTTAAAAAAAGAAAAACCAATAAGAAAAAACAAGAAAAGACGGTGAAAACGACTTAAACGTGTCTTAATGATAAGATTTATGCATGGATTCAAGGAGTGTTCGTGCATAAAATTAATGCAGATTTACTAATCTAACGTACAAGGTCGTGTAATGATTTTTGCAACGACAATCAAACTGAAAAAGTTTCATCGCAGTTATCTTTGCATCTTGTTTACATATTCATTCCTACGTTACCTGTACATACATAAAGTCAAAACACTAAAAATATTATCTATCTTTTAAAGTATAAATTAAGACACTACTTTAAAGACTTTATTTGGCTTTCAAAGTGTTGTCGTCACAGTTCAGTTGGTGTGTTCTAATATCATCCGCTTACTCTGACTGAGAGGTGGGAAATTATTTGGGTTTGTTTTCTAAATAAGTCGCAAAAATTCGTACTATTGTGGTGACAATCTATTTCTTTCTCTCTGCATTATCAGTAGCTAGATCTTAGTGTGATATTATCTTACTCCCTGTACCTTTATTACATAACACGTCTTGAAGTTGACTGACATTTTTATTTAGTTCAAGTGAGGGTCAAACACATCTTATATCGGGAGAGGGACGATTAAGTTTGTTAAACTGATAAAGTAGAAAGCGTTTAATTGAGTATTAACTTTTCGATCATTAGGTATAAGAACATAAAAGGTCTCTATTTACCTCAGTGTTAGTTTTATGCGAAGCTTCCATTTCCCATAATTTAACCAGATCCTCGACAATCTTCTCTAATGAGCCTTCCTTATGGTTTCTTGTCCTTCCCTGTAGATAAGCTTGATTGGCATTGGTATAGTCAGGTTTGCCTTCCCGCCACTGAATACTCGGATCTTCCATGAATTTTTGGCGAGGACAGGTGTAAGAGCTATCTGTCATTGCTTAAAATGGATGGCTACTGATGCCTTCTAATTACGTTCCTATATCATGATGGCTCAAAATTTTCAGCGGATTTATACAAACAAACTAAAAATAACTTAATTTCCCTCGGGAGCTGTTTGTGATCTTCCTCCTTGTTGTTTTGCTCTTTGGCTTTGGATATAATTGTGTAATCGTGAAGAACAACTCCCTTAAAAAAACCTGTCGGCTGACTAACGGCCGACAGTTGACCGACATTTGGCCGACAGAAGACCGACAGTTGGCCGATAGTCGGTAAAGCAGTGACAAATTGCGGTATTGGCTTGGCTTCGTTCAACAACTGTAACATTTTGTTTAATAAGGAATGAGATTTAGATAAAGCGGCAAAAAGAATACCCTTAAACTGTTTTTTCAAATCTCCTTTCGTGACTCAGCTTTTGCTCTCTGCCTCTTTTTCGGTCGCAATCAGCACCGGTACCCTGTTTTTCTACACCACAGGGTCGAGAAAGACCAGCAACTCGTGTTTTAATCACCCCCAATGTTCATTAAATTTACAGCAACAATTGATGATTGAGCGTTGCTGAACAAGACTGAGATAGTTCAGCGGAAGGGCGTCAACATAGATTTCTCCTTCATGAAAATATCCCAAAGATCATGAATTAAATACCATATGGCTACTCAGTGGATTCCTTTGATCATTCCTAACGCATTAACTTAACCGCGAACACACTGATGTTAAAATAGCAATTTCATAGAGTAACGCACTTCTTTAAGTGTTGAATAACGAATGATTTAAGGGAATATTTCTAAGTGGAAATGTCCCTTTTACGCTAAAAAAAAATGAATTAGAAGTAACATTTGGGAACTTGTGATCTTGACCATACACTCCTCTAAGCAAACGAAAGTGTGAATTTACACAACAAAAGTGAGCGTTATTTCATTACATAAATTCAAAAAAGACGTTTCCATTTCTCGGATAGGGACGAATAAATGGAGGTCCCGTCTCCTGCAGGGTTAGGGGTAGGAGACATTAATTTCCCAAGCACGAGATTACCGGTGTGATGGATGTCCTCCCCTGGAGTGGGATGGGTGGGTAACAGGAGCCCCGTTGATACCAGTGTTTACTACACTGAAGGGGCTATCCTGTATAAATATTGATGTCTACTCTACTCTACTCCAAAGTATTTGAGTTCACCATTTCCTCGAAGTAGGTGTGTTGATTTTTTTAGTTCCTACCATTTTTAGTTAACCAAAGAAGATTGACCAATAGTAACTTCCCAATACTTGTAAAATTTTGTCAAAGAAAATTTTGCCAGCACTAGTGATAGCTATGTATTTTAAACAGTGGTCACTTTAAACAGAGTCAAGGGACCATGGCACAGATGTAATAAGCGCAGCCCGTGAACAAGACAGCCTTTCTCTTTTTTTTGCCTAGGACACATCCTCTCTTCTTAGCATGAGCGTCATAATATTTCTGGGATGCAGCCACTCCTTTATACTGACACAAATACGGTAGAACTCCTTTCTATAATTAAAAACAAAACCAAACGCCTCATAAACCCCTTACTAGCTCCGTCTGAAAATAAAATCAATCAATGACTTGAAATAGGGGGAAAAGGAGATGTTTAATCCAATAGGATGACCTCATTAGCGAGATTTTCAAGGCAAGTGTATTTAAAAATAAAAAATACTCCAAATGAACAAAAGTTGGTGAAAAGTCTAAAGAGGTTGGAGGCTTACCATATGGCTATTTACATATGAAAAATTGAATCCTAAAGCATTTTGATTGGTTCTTTGTCATGATCTATTGGAAGACAGGTGTAGCGTTGACGTCGCCACTCTAAACTTCTTGCGTTCTCATTATAGAAAACAATAAGATTCCATGTTGCTGTTAGTCTTCCAAGAAATAGATCACAGAAGAATTTTAAGGTGCGGTAAGAAAATCAGCCAACATCAGTAACACACTCCTAGTGCTGCTCCTAGTGTGCCACTTTTTAGTTCTTTTTGACGTAATCTGTTTAGCTCTCTAACCGCTCAGCCACGCATCCACCTTTAATTAAATAACTATAGCCGTACTTATACAAAACATGAACTTAAACAACGGACATGAACTGACTCGAAAGAATAGTATCATTTTATGAGTTTATTGACCATTGCGAACTTGAATAAAGTACTAAGTTGTCACTACGCGAAATTTTGTTTTTTTTTTTTTGCAAAAAAATCTGTCAAGGCGAAACCATTTTCAGTGCGAACGATTTTTTTGACCCACCAAAATTTCGCAAGAGCCACCAAACTTCAAAGATGCCGTCGACTACTTTTGGAGGCCTACAGTTTTTTGTCGGGCGAGAAAATCTATTGTCCCTTGACAGATACCCTTCCACTGGTCATCATATTTCGTAATTGAACGTCGCGTTAGTAAGTTGTCGAATGACTCTCTCCCCATTTTCAAATTTCTACGGAAAAAGGCTTCAGGAAGTTACAATTCAAACCAGGATTCTACGAGTCGACAGCGGCGTCGACGTTTGTTGAGCAACTGAGTTAAAGTCTCCATGATTGGTAGAAGCCGAATCCTCCCCAACAAAACCAAAAGTAATTGTTGACTAGCCCCAATTAGGTTTTGCATGGTAAGCAAACAGCAAAGAAGGGCGATTAAGACATTTCGCGGGGGCATTTTGCTTTGCGATCAGTCCTTGACGGGAAACGACATAACAGAAACGCACTGTCACGAAATCTCGGTATCTTTTTCGATTGCTTGACATTTGTGGTTACCCAAATAATTCGCACGTCTCAAGTGCAAACGCTATTACAAAAACAGGAAATTCGTTGTTACAAAATTTTCAATTTTTTGCAAATACCAAACCAAATTTTTCGGTGTAGTGCGAACAGGGCCTTGTAATAAGAAAATATTCTGTGCGCAAAAATCTAACATACCGGCTTTGATAAACTGACAGACTGAATTCCACCCCTTTAGTGATTGCGATGAGGGATCCAAAGGGAACTGAAGTAAACAAATATTTTAGCATTTCCATACTCAGTGTGATGGATTATCTCGTTCCTGTTCCTTTTGTTGTCAATGAGAGAGAAAATTAAGAATAACCCCTGGAACGATTTTGGTTGCAGAAAGTTTGAAAAAGTCGTGTACGTGTTACTATGAAATTTTTCCCATTTGACTGAGATTTATTAATTGCTCGCCACAATTATCAAACTACATGAATTGCTATTCTTAAACATAATTTCCGCACTCATTAAAAGTAATTGACAGATTTTGAGGTATGAGCGTCAGAGTATAAGAACTTTTCATCAACAACTTTCTTATTGCCGCTATTCAACACTCCTTTCCTTCCAACTTCATCAAAAGCTGGTTAGAATCGTAGTGAACATCAATTGATTTGATTTTTAGGTTCTCGTCCACCGCGGCCACAGCCATTCCATACATTTCAAGTAGTTCGCCCGTCGGGGTCCTTCCCTTGTACGGGCCCGTCCAGTGAGCCCAATGGCGCCACGAAAAGGCCATCCGTGGGGGTCCTAGGGGGCAAAAACAACCACATCAGGACAAATCATAAATTAGGCTTTGAAAACTCTGCATGTTTCTCATATGGAAGTGTTTAATCTCGACTTGGGAATATAAATATATGCCTGGTAGACTGTGTCGTGTCTTATTTTGTATGCGTGCCTACCAAAAATATTTTAAGAATAAAATATTTTATTTGTATTCCAGCGATGCAACAAGTTCACGTGCACGTGACCTTTTTTTCTTTTTTTTTTGAAAAAGTACTTTTGAACTCTCTTGTCTTGGGTGAATATCTAAGTTAGTTCGCAAAGTTCGCGAAGATTTTTTCGTAAATGTTCAGAGAATTTCGAAGCGACGTAGGTTGAGAGGCTGTAATCCATACGACGCTGTGAAACTCTGAAACGAAGGAAACATTAAAACGTGGAGTTTACACTGAGTATTGCAAACCAAGAGACGAACGCGAACAAACCGTAACAGAAGTCATTCATTTACCTGAAAACACTTCTATCAGTTCCCATGGAAATCCTTTGTCGAATGCAGACCTGAACAAATCATGTAACGATTTAAACGAGTGAGCGTTACTGTTGTACAGCGGTTGGTTTTGCATCAGTATGTTGTAGTTTCCTTCTTCAATTCCTTCCTTCAGAGAAAACGAGCGCTGGTTGTTTGCGCGGATGGCGAAAGCTTGCACATCAAGGGTTTGCCAATCTTTTGGTTTAAAAAAGGATTTAAAGAACAGAAGTAGGAATCATCTGAAGGTACTTATAACAAAACCAAAGTAAAGCGCACACTCTAACTGTTCAATTCAGTGTACACCAATTGCCCATGGGTGTACGCTGCTGACCTGAACAAAAGCAAAGACAAGTTTTCCGCGCGCGCTGGTTTTTTTGTGGTCACGTAAGGTTTGCTAAATAAAAGGGAACTTTTTTGTTACAATTTATCAATGTTTTGTTATAAAACAAATGGTAAACACTACGGCGTACACTATTTAGTTATAGATGTACTTGTGAGGTTTTCTAAGCACTCAAGAAGCTAGAGTCGCTCTCGGCTATCGCCTCGCGCGACTCTTACGCTTCTTTCGTGCTTAGCAACCTCTCGCCTGCATCCATAACTCATTATAGTTCACCACTAAATTTTCCCCAATCGTTATTGGTTTAAATTGATCACGTGACGCGATAGTGTTCATCCGTGGAGAGACAGTTAGGGACTTTAAGCAGTCAGGACGGCAACTCCACGGAAGACGTCGATTAAAAAGTTAGTTTCTACTTTCAGTTAGATTTTCGAAAATGGCTGCATGTGTTTATCGTCTCATAGGGCGCCAGACCTCAAACTCAACATAACACATAAAAGTAGCGTTGAGTTCCAAATGTAAATTTAAATAATTTGTCGCCGCGGTTTCGCTTCGCAGACGACGCAAATTTTGGTGATTTCATGTTGTTGTTTTGCAAAGGACGGCTAAGAAATGTACAAAGTTTTAAAACGCACGTGTCGGGCTATTGTTCTGCCTATTAGATCTATTGTTTTTCCACGTTCTTGTTTCCGTAACCGTCGTGGTTTGCCTAAAGTCCCTACTACTATCAGCCCGTAGTGCCCGTCCGCGGAAAATACCCGGATGGTTAGTACTCATCCGTGAAAAATTTTGAATGGTTTGACGGCCGCCAAGTTAGGCAGATCGGAAAAACAGTGACTTTTCAATTCTGACGGGTATAACGTATTATTTAGCCGATGTACGGTTGCGAATTATTGACATTTGTGACAGGCTGTACGCATGAATAAATATCTGATTGATCTGCATTTAGTGGGTTTTAAATGTTTTCAACTGGCGCGCGGAAGAAAATTTAGTGGTGAACAATAAAGACAATAGAGTGTTTATGTCTCAGAACTATCGGTCGGATAGTTGCCCCTTGGAAATTTGGTGTTCTTAAAACTAGCATATTTGCCCTCGAAGCGTTTGAACAACCTCGTTCCCCAGGGGCTTTTCCCTTTAGAAACTATCAGCTTTTTCCCTTAGGTGAGGGTGGCGTTGGGGGTGGGGCCCCACCCCCAGCAAAGGGAAAAGGCGCTGGGAACGAGGTTGGCGTTTTAAGAACATCAAATTTCCGCGGGGCAACTATCAGCCGATAGTTCCTCCACAGAAACACTATTGTTTAAATAGTTCCTCAACAGAAACACTTTGTTACAATGAATATATGAAGTTCATATATTTTGAACTGCGGCATTAAATACGTATGATGTACGATCCTTCGCAGTAGATAGCGCTATTTATGCAATAGCGAAAATCAGACCTGAAAAAAAATCAGGCCTATGGTGTGTAGGATGACAGCACGGATTCATTTGATCAATCGTGCTGCATTAACTCAACTGTGAACACACTAATGTTCAATTGCAATTTGCACTTTACAGTTTGTGTTAAACAGCGGAAGATTTTAGTGAACATTTAAGAAGTAATATTTGGGAAGCAGTATTGGTCTTGACAATATACTCCTCTCTTAGCAAGCGGAGGCGCGGTGAAATTACTGACAAAACTGTTCGTCATTTTCTTAGATCATTTCAAACGGAGAATTACGTGAGGTATTTTACTTATTTCATACTTTAGTTAACTGGAGAAAATAGACTGATAGGTATCATCACAAATTGGCGCAATAAATATCAACCAACTTCTTAAAAACAGTTTGTCTGCAGTGAAAATTTTGCCGGCGGTAGGGATAACCATGTATTTTAAACAGTGCTCACCTAAAACGACGTGTAGGAACGATGGTACAGATTTGGTAAACGCAACTCGAGAACAGGAATTGCTTTCTTTTTTAAACTGCCCACCCAACAGCTGCTCTCCTCAGCATTTCTGGAATGTTTGTAATATTGGATCCCCTTTTATCTTGATGCAATCACAGTAGAACTACTTTCTATCATTAAACAAAAAAAGTTTTATTAGCACTTAAGAAAACACTAGACTCTACTGGTTCCCCCTGAAAATGAAATACACCAAACTAAAACAGGATTAAGTAAAATAAAATTAAATAGGAGAAGATAAGTAGTTTATTTCACAATGATAATCTAATTTGCGAGTTTTCAAAGGCAAATGAAAAAAGATTAAAGCAAATACCTCTAGTCTTGAATGGCAGTTCAGGAGGAAGACTATTTGCATGGAGTATGGCTATTTGTATTCATATAATAAGCTGAATTTTATACGCATTTTGATTGCTTTATTATCAGATTATTACGAATATTGGAGGACAGACGTAGAGATGAAATCACCATTAACCACCTTTTGCTTTTTATTACATAAAACAAACAGATTCTATGTTCCGTGGGTCTGTTCAGTAATAGAACACAAAAGATGTTGAAATGTGGCATGGTAAGAACATCAGCGACGCACTCGACTGCGCCTTGCTTGCAATGTTTTTCCTCTTACCACACTTTGACGTCATCTGTGGTCTATCTTTGTATAGACGCACGGTAACATGGAATCTATTTATCAATTACAGCGCAGGCAGCCCAAGCTCACTACTAGAAAAGCGGACATGACTCTTACAGTTTTGCGCAACGTTTTATATTTATAAAGAATTGTATGGGATGTTATCGGTTTGCCTTAAAAGAGAGAAAAAATGTCTTGTTTTGAAATAAATTGAGCTTACCTTATTGCCTTGTTGTTTTCTTTGTTGATTACCAGCGTCTCAGGCCATTTTGAAGCGTTTTCGGCGAGTTAGCGATATTTTAGTGTTCAACTGCTAAAAAAAGACAGGCTATAAGGTAAGTTCAATTTATTTCAAAACACTGAGACATTTTTTCTCTCTTTTAAGGCAAACCGATAACATACCATACAATTCTTTATAAATATAAAATGTTGCGCAACGCTGTAAGAGTCACGTCCGCTTTTCTAGTAGTGAGCTTGGGCTGCCTGTGATTACAGAATGTCGTCCCGAAGGTAACTCAAAGCAACCGATGAAAAAGTATGGTAAGACCCACACCGATGCAATAGTACCCAAGCTTAAGACCTCTGAGTCCCAAGGCTAGCACCCCGACCTATTGAAGACATTAGTTTGCATTTCCGTGCCTTAACAAACAAGAACTTAAACGGTGCGAATAAAATGACTTGAAACTGAATAGTATGATACTGTATTTTGATAAACTATAGGACGACGTGCTGCCGCTTGAATATTGGCGCTAAAAAAACCAACATAAATAATGTTTTAGTTTTCCTTTACTCAATGTGATGGATTACCTCGTTTCTTTTCCGTCTGTCGTCGATAAGGGGGGCCATTAAGAAAGAGCTCGGCCGGGAACGATGGTGGTTAAAGTAATTTAGTATTTGCAACTGTGACTTCTTTCAGTTGAGATTTTTCACTGTTGACCGTAACCAAAAGCTACAACAGTTTTTATTCAGTAAAGCAGTTTTTATTCTCTTTATTATACTATTAAACCGACAGCTTTTGAGCTATGAGCGTCATGAGGACGCTTCATCGACGACCTTCCTGTTGCTGGTATTCAACACTCCTTCCTTCCAACTTCATCAAAAGCTGGTTAGGATCATAATGAACATCAATTGATTTGATTTTTAGGTTCTCGTCCACCTCGGCCACAGCCATTCCATACATTTCAAGAAGTTCGCCCGTTGGGGCCCTTTCTTTGTAGGGGCCCGTCCAGTGGGCCCAATGGCGCCACGAAAAGGCCACTCGTGGGGGTCCTACGGGACAAAAAAAAGCGACATCAGTGGAACTTACGGATACATAAAGGCTTCTTTGTGATTTTTGCAGCCCCGTCACATAAGACGTTTCATCGCCAATAAGGAGTATCAATATATACCTCGCAGACTTGGTAAGTTGTCACCAACTTGAACAAACCTTACAGAAGTCATTCACTAACCTGAAAATACTTCCATCAGTTCCCATGGAAACCCTTGATTGAATGCAGACCTGAACGAATCATGTGATGTTTGAAACGAATGAGTGTTGCAGTTGTACAGCGGTTGGTTTTGCATAAGTGCGTTGTAGTTTCCCTCCTCAATCAGTTCCTTCAAGCAAAACGAGCGCTGGTTGTTTGCCCTAATGGTGAAAGCCTCTGTGTCAACACTTTGCCAATCCTGTAGCCAAGAAAAAGAAAAAAATAGAATGAACAGAGACAGTGAAAATGATTGAACTTTTTCTCAATGATAGTCCAAGTTGCGTTCGTGCTTAAAATACAATATTATAGATTTACTAATCGAAACTAATCTAACTGCAGGTTCGTCTCATGAGCTTTGCCTCCGCAACGAAAATAATCTAGTTAATGTTTTCATTACAACAGTCACTGTACATACATAAATTAAAATCAAACGCACTAATATCATCCATTTATTTTCTAAGTAGGCACTTAAAAAACTTCAGTTGGCTTTTAATGCGTTGTCGTCACAGTTCAGTTGGTGTGTTCTGATATCCACCAATTCTGACTGAGAGGTTAAATATCATTTGATTTTGTATTTCTAAATGAGTTTCACAAATACGTTGTGTCATGCTGACAATCAGTGTTTCATTTATTTACCTCAGATTTCAAAATTTATGATTCTCTTTTGTGCTATGATTACTAGACATAACACGCCAAATAGTTGACATCAGAATGAAGTTTAATTGAATTTTAAACACATCACAACATTGAGAGAAAAAGGACGATTTTGCTCTTTTGAGGGAAAGACGTTTTAGCAGTAACTTTTCGGTAATTGTGAATCAGAACAATTCTCATCTATATTTACCTCAGTGTTAGTTTTATGCGAAGCTTCCATTTCCCATGATTTCACCAGATCCTCAACAATCTTTTCTAACGAACCTTCCTTATGAATTCTTGTCCTACCCTCTAAATAAGCTTTATTAACCTGGGTGAAATCAGGTTTCCCTTCACGCCATTGAATTCCCGGATCCTCCATGAATTTTTGGCGAGGACAAGCATAAGTGATATCTTCCATTGCTCAAAATCGACAGTGGTGTCTGGTAATTACGTTTCTGTGAACTAAAATGTTTAGGTTTAGAACTTGACGTAAAAAATGTTAAAAGAATATCCCTTGGGAAACCATCATAATCTCTTTTCCTACAATTCGTTGGTTTGTTATTCGCTTTGGAAAATAGAGGGTATTTTAAATGAGTGTCGTAAACTAACAACCAAAGTTATCAGCAGCCAATCAGAACTCGGAAAAAATTTTACAATGAGCTAATGAGAACTGAAAGCCAAAACACGCAAAATTCCTTAAAAACGCGAGTGGCCGAGTAACGATTGGTTTTTGTTTTGAATCTGATCGGTTGTTAAACTGATGCAGGTCTTCTGAGCCAATCGAAGAGGGAAATTAAGCAAAACCAACCTAACCCGAATTACTTTCAATACTTCGTTAAAGAGTATGCTCCAATTGATTTGCTGGTCGTCAATGACAAACTCGGGCGTCTCGCATTTCAGCATCTCTAGGCTTTCTGTATAAACCTTGTTGATCCCAAAGATTAACATTGACCGCCGGAAAAACTGTTAAACTTTGACTTTCGGATAAAAGGGAAAAAAGCTACGCTTCGATAGCTGGGTTATTACATATTGATTGCTGTGCAATTAGGGTTACGCTCCAGTTATTTTTTAAGTAGAAGGCTAATAACCTTGATACAGGTAGGGGAAGAATAAAAAAGAAATGAAAGAAAATGAAAAAAGGTTGCCATCGCAAAGGACCAAACCCTGGACTCCTCGCTTGGGAGGAGTAGTGCTACCCATCGCGCCAAGTTTTACTCATTTATTCAAAAGTACTTTTCATGGAATAGACCAGAGAGTTAAAACGTGACCTTTCTTAATAAAAAGCAAAGTATGACGTCACTTCCGTAGCCTCAACATCTCACCCTGAATAATTCGTTTTCCGTGTTCAGCAGCTCGCAGCCACTTTGATTTGTTCGCCGTTACTATCGTGCCTTAAATTTTACTCAGACCAGTCCGGATATAATGAAAAAGAGCCGCGAATCGAACATCATAATTCAGTGAAACTTCGGAATATAACCCCTCATGCAATAACATAGTTTGTATTCTAAGTTTGACCCTATCAATCAATGTCGAATTTGATCAATTTGGGTCGGCCCAATAAAGCTTCATAGGAATCAACGTCAAATTTGATCAATTTGGGTTGGCCCAAAAAAGCTTCATGGGAATCAACGTCGAATTTGATCAATTTGGGTTGGCCCAATGAAGCTTCATAGGAATCAACGTCAAATTTGATCAATTTGGGTTGGCCCAATAAAGCTTCACAGGAATCAACGTCGAATTTGATCAATTTGGGTTAACCCAAATAAGTCTTAGATTCAGCACATGAGAAGTTCGACGTTTCAAGCAGACTTAAGAACTTGATTTGAACCATGATGGCAGCATGGCGTACGAAGATGACACTGACAGATGCACCCATTCATTTAAAGTGCATTCATTGACCTAAACTTGACCGCGAACTCACTGCTGTATTTAGAAAGCACTTTTGTCAAGCCCCGTACCAACCTAAGTGCTAAATTTTTGGATGGTTCAGTTGGAAACTATTGGCCTCAGTCGTTCCATGCTTCATGGCAGGCAAAATTATGAATTATGAAAAAACTGTGCGTCAGTTCAAAGGATCATTTCAAAGTGTTATAATTATGTAGAGAATATTCCTCAGGCTATGGTAATAGTTTATGAAAAAACAAACTCCTTTACTTAGTTTACTTCAGATAATACTTTAGCCGATTGACCGATAAAAGATACCGCCAATTGTACTGATTAGTTATGTATATTTCAAAGTTCTTAGCTGGAGAAGATTGACTGATAGTTGATACCACCGATTGGTACAATAAACATCAGTTAACTTCGTAATAACAGTTTGTCACCAATTACAACTTGCTAGCAATTGCGATAACTATATATTTTGAACAGTGCTCACCTTAAACAACGTCGAGGGACGATGTCGAAGATATGAAAGAAGTAACCAGCGAACGGGCAAGACTTTCTTTCTTATACAACCTTGGAAACGTCTTCTTTCCTCAGTATGAACGTTAAAATATTTCTAGAATGTTTGTTAGATTGGACCCTTTAATTTCTTCAAGGGTGATGGCTCAAGAGACCGTACATTCGGAATGACGTCATGGGACTAATTTTAACCCACACCCTTTCCCAACCATCACCATTTGTTAGCTCTAGGCGGTCTGCAGAGTAAAACACTGCCAAATTAATAAATCGCAACACCAAAAGGAACTACAACTCTGCAGAATGACATCTTGAGGTAACTTATGGGAAAGGTTGGAAACGAGAGTGGATTGAAATTTATTTCATGACGTCACTCTACAAGTTTCATATTCCGCATAACTTGTACCATTCCGCAAGTCCTGCGTGCCACGGCTTCCCAGCGTCGCACCCACGGCGGGATTTGGACATGTAGGTTACAAATGAGATCGATTTTGATTTTTTCATTTTGAATTAGTACCAACTATTTTCCTCTAAACTTCGTCTGAGACAAAGATCTGAAATGGCATGCGTGAACTAGTGGAGTCTTGAAGTTTGGGAAGCACATTTCGAATAATCTTTATATCCAGACATGCAGTAAATGGTTTGAACCCGGGGGTAACATGTGAAGGTGTAGTCTGATCGTCCGGGTGAGTGTAGTCCTGAGAAGGACTGTTGTCGGTGGTAGTGACTGACGTTTCGACAACCTGTGCGGAAGTCATCATCAGAGTCAAGTGAATGATCTACTGACAACAATCATTCACTTGACTCTGATGATGACTTCCGCACAGGTTGTCGAAACGTCAGTCACTACCACCGACAACAGTCCTTCTCAGGACTACACTCACCCGGACGATCAGACTACACCTTCATATATCCAGACTGTTACCCAGCCGTGACCGTGACTCATTAGATTGTAACGCAATCTGAATGTCCTCCATGGTTGCAGTTTGAAAGCTGCCAGCAAATGCGCCTAGAAAAATGTCAATGTCACGTTTTATCCAGACTACAAACCGCTTGACTTTATTGCAAAGAAAAATTTCCCGTCAGAATCTATGGACCTCTTTGCAGAATGCAGCGAGAAGATCAAACTCATGTTTACATGGTCTTCCAATCCGCCATTTTCATAGCTCAAAACGGAGGCAAAGAGAGCTTCATGAATACGATGAGGTGTTCAAGAAGTCTATCGAAGAACCAGAGGAATTTTGGGCAGAGTTAGCAGAAGAAATTGATTGGTATAAGCCATTTACGAAAGTTGTGGACAATAACAACCAGCCTTTTACAAAATGGTTCGTGATTCCCGTTCATACCATATATCGTGTCATGAAATATTGTTCCAACAAGATAAGTTGAACTCAACTGAATGTTCTAAATCGATAAGATGTCAAGAGAATGATAAGATTTTGAAAAACCAAAAAAAATGTTGCGCTGAGTTCCATAAGTTGGCGGTAATTATGGCGTTTTCCCCTCTTTTAGTCTTAATACATGTAATTGTTTTTGTCACTAATTGACATGCACGAGAACGATAATTGAGTTAAAATTTTCATCGCAGGTTTGTCGGTGGTGAGATGAACACTTGCTACAACTGTCTTGATCGACATATTGAAAATGGAAGAGGGAAACGAACAGCTTTGATTTACGACAGTCCATTGAGTGGCAAAGTAGAAATGTACTCATATGAAAACTTACAACGTCTAGTAAGCACAGCTGGTCGAGTACACAACTTAGTGCTATGATAACATTATATTTTCCCAAATTTAAAATGAAATGAACGTGTATATTGGGTCCAGTTATCGTTTGGAATTTAACTTTGCTGATAAATTAACTCGAAAGTTTATGCGTCACCTCTGAAACTTCTTTCTGTCTCTTTGTCATTACTGATCGAATGATAGTAGCACAGTGTATGCTGAAATGCACGTTTGTTCCTAGGTTGCAAAGTTTGCTGGTGCTCTGGCACAATTAAATGTTGGCAAAGGAGATCGAGTTGTTATTTATATGCCAATGATTCCACAGGTAACTTCAATTACAATGAATACATCTAGCATAGCTGAAAGAGATTCAGCATTACCCTTGATTAAATGTTTCAATTTAGGACTGTAACTGTGGGTGCCTAATGTTGGTCCACTATTGACTTTAGTTGGAGAGGTCTGTGTTTTGAGACATGGCTGGGTCATTGCGTTGTGTTCTTGGGTGAAACAATTTACTTTCAAAGTGCCTCTCTCCACCCAGGAACATAAATAGGTACCTGCAAAATGTCAGGGAAGCTGGATGAAATGCTGAGGGTAACCTTGTATCCCATCCTTGGGGGAATGGTGATAATCCTAGATGAAAAGCGTAGCTCAAGTACAGACTTAAATTATGACTGAAATTTGGTGTTTTATTCATGCTCCCAATGTGCCTTAGTTTCTGTTCATTTTGCCTTAAACAAGAAGGTAGCTCCTGCTTTGCAAAGGAAAATGTTTGGACTAGCACAGTATTAAATTCAGAGTTTTCATTCCAGGCTGTGATAGCCATGTTAGCTTGTGCTCGACTTGGTGCTATTCACTCTGTTGTATTTGGAGGTTTTGCAGCCCAGGAGTTGGCAAGGAGGATTGAACACGCTGAAGTAAGTAAACAAATTCATACATTGTATCTTCTTGCCACCTGAGAAACTTGTATCACTGTTAAAGATTTGTATATCAAATTTGTTTGATTTTTTTCATAGCCACGCATTGTGGTGACAGCATCCTGTGGTCTTGAGCCAACTCGTTTGGTCTATTATAAACCACTGTTGGATGAGGCAATAAAGATGTCAAAATTCAAGCCGTCAACATGTGTTGTGTACCAAAGAGACCCGGTAAATGTCTCTTACATCAGCATTAATTGTTTGATAAGTTATTTGATTCAACAGATCATTGAACGAGATTGAACGAGATTGATAGATTGAACGAGATTGAAAGATTGAACGAGATTACGGTGATGTGGTCTGGCCTGTTTACTGGGAATTGGGGGGAGGGGGCATCTTTAAATAAGTTTCCTTCGATTGTTTGTAAACTGCAGATGCAGTCCAGCCAAAGTTCCCCAATAAGTGTTGTGATGCGCATTTGATCATAGCCACATGTTAATTTGCGCAATATAAATATTAAATTATTATTATTATTATTATTATTATTATTATTAACAGAACTTGACTAAAAATCCACTATATATTTGTATCTTGTGGTTACCATTAGTTATACGCCAAGGGTTAACATTCCCATTCTTAAGATATTGTAAAGATAGGCAATATCATAACCATACAGCTTATGGTAATGTTATCAAATAAATCTATCATTTACTTTCTTTTTACGTAGTGTTCAGGGGGCATTATCCCAGGGCAGGACATCAGCTGGGATCAAGTGATGGAGAAAGCACAGCCCCATGACTGTGTACCTGTGCTTTCAACTGATCCTTTGTATATTCTCTATACCTCTGGTACCACAGGTGACCCAAAGGTAATAAGCTCTCTACAAATAATCTTAGGTCCATGACCTCTCTCAAAATGTTAATTTTATGTACCAAAAATTGATAAAATTAGGAAATCAAATGCTATTAAATAATTAGATCAAATTTTGCAATTGTTAGATACAAACTCTGCAATGTTGAAATTTTTCACTGTATCTGTTCACACAGGGTATTGTGCGACCAAATGGAGGACATGCTGTAGCTCTTAACTGGAGCATGAGAAATTTGTATGGGATTAATCCTGGAGAGGTACAAGTGTAACTGTAATTATGATAATTTGGCAATATCAACAGTTATCAGAGCTGATGAAGGGGTAACACTCGAAACGTCAACTTTTTAACTCTTTATGGTGGCCAATTTACAATTTCAACTTAGTTGATATTACCAAATTACCTTGTTACCCCCACCAATGCAGCACCACAGTTTCTTTAGAAACTTACCCCCTTTATTCATTTGTAATTATGATAGCTATTAGTTGCAATATTCATATAAATTATTGAGTGACACAATTAATCAGGGATTGTAATTGTTTTATTTTTTAACCCAGCCTTGAACTCTCAGGATCTAATTTTTAATTGTCCTCTCTGGCTGCTACACATTTCCTTGCAAATTAGTTGTGATAATTCGGTGTTAGGTCAAAATAAAAACTACTACCTAATAACTTCAGTATTCTCATCACCTGTTTGTAGGATAATGTATGGATATTATAGGGAGAAGTTACATCTCAATCACTTGTGGGAGTTGAAGAGTTAATTGTCTAAGACTAATTAATGAAACTTGCACCACCTTCTCAGCTAATCAGATTCAAAATTTGATTTAAAACCAGTTATGAATCCTGTGCTTCAGGCAATTAAGATGTTGTTCAGGATGTCATTGACCCTCCAGATGTTTACCTTTGCTCTGATTGGTTGTGGTTATTTCTTTGGTTTTGGGTTTTTAAAGTTCAGTTGGAAACCAATCCAATCCAATGCATCTACTCTTTATCCCCAAACTAACCTTATAATCAAAAGTTCAAATTTTTTTTACTGTTAAGGTGTGGTGGGCTGCATCTGATCTTGGCTGGGTGGTAGGTCATTCCTACATAGTTTATGCTCCTTTGTTGTCTGGTTGCACAACTGTTTTATTTGAGGTAAGAGGTAATTCTTTCTGCCTTTTATGACCCATATACAATCAGCTAAGCTGACTGTTACTCTTTGCAAATGTTTTAAAAACTCCAATTTAGTGTTAAGGTTTTTTTTTTTACAGTCACTTTTACTGTTTTTCAAATCCTTACAGGTCAATTTCATCCATGTTATTAAAAATAATTGTTACATCCTGGAATGAGGTGTGGATTATTAATGACATTATACTGTTATCCTTGTTACAGTGGGAAGTAGTATCCATCCTTTAAACAATTAGGGGCCATTTCTTGAAAGTCTCAGTAAATTTACAGCCTACCCAAAATGATATTTCAAAATATAAACCAAAGGAAATGTGGGGCACGTCCCAGCTAAAAAAACACTGTTGAATTTCATTAGCTCATATTTGTGCTAACATGGAATGCACATTTTTGAGACAGTTAACTTGTGTAACGTTTGGGAAACAAGCCTCTCAGGGCCGACGTACATTTCATGGAGGCACTCATTTCCCAAGGGAAAATTAGTTGGACAAGTCATGTTAGTTCTTACAGCTTAGCAGGAATTGAAAACTTTGTGAATTTTTAGTATTTATCTGAGATGTAGTCGTGTATCAATAGAGAGCTACTTGCAGTTTCCAGTCACAGAACTATTTGTTGATCACAATTCTGTTTCTTTTTAAGCTGACTTCTCAAGAACTGGATGTGTTCCCTTGTGTTTCTGATGGTCTCTAACACTTCTTTATAGGCAAATTTCTGTAGAAAGGATAATTTGCCATCGGAAGAATTTTTAATCGACTGCACAAGTTACTTTCATCTTTTTACCACAGTATAGGGGCTCTATAACGGCTCATTTTTTCAGAGCTTCTGAAAGTTTGTAAGTGATAATAATTTTTTGAGGAATAAATAGTAAATTTATAGAACCAACTAGTTTTGGTGTAACCGCCATTCGTACCTTCATGATCGTTTTGGCCTTCTTTTCAGCTTTCTTTGATAATTTTTTGGCCTTCTTGTGTTCGTCTTTTGAATTCTTTGGTGACGAGGGAAAACAAAACTCGTCTTTGCTTTGATTCTTCGTTTGTTGTTGAGGTGCATTCAGTGGTTTAACTGTCAAATAGTCTCGACCACACGTCGCTCGCTTCTTGAAATTAAGCACTGGCTCAAGTTTTTTCATCATTCCGAGGCTTATGGACGGACCAATTTTCTGAAAAAAGAAAAACCGTATCAAACTTACTTTTTCATTCCACGGCGAACTGACTGGTATATAACACTCCTTTTACTGGGCTAAAAAATGTTTTATTGAGAGTCAACTCAAATTGACCTTAAATTTTCCAGATGCCATCGTGAAAGATATGAAAATGGCTTGCTTCTTTTGAAAAAGGGTTAATACTTTTTTATAAATTTTAGAACATGCCGAAAGCAAATCAGATGTTTTCGACAGACTAATTTTCGTACGAGTTCACTAACGATGTGACCAAGTCAACATCGTAAGAAATATTGACAAACAAACCTTCCCATTTTCCCGCCAAATTTGCACCAACGCCACGTCGAGAGCAAATAAGCACGAGAGAAGGCTGGGAACTAAATAATGACGTTTTAAAAGCTTCCCACTTTATTTAGCTTAGCTTTCAAGTAATCTATTGGATATTTACCTCGACGAACTTGTTGTAGGGAAACCGAACGCTTCATGTAACCTGAACCAAGGAAAGAACTGAAAGTTCCTCTGTGGGCATGGGATTATGTCTAAGGCAGATGGATGAGAAGGTCTACCCCGCTTAACATCACTAAGAGTAAATGCCATGTTTATTTTTTAGGGTAAACCAGTAGGTACTCCAGATGCTGGGGCATTCTTTAGAGTCATCGAACAACATAAAGTTGTGAGCATGTTTACGGCGCCAACAGCTATTAGGATCATTAGAGCAGAGGTAAACTTGCCGAGTTATTCATTGTCATAGTATCCCCCCGTCTTAGAGGGAGGGGTGGGTAGGGATGTTGAACTCAGAGACTAATTCGAATGAAGGTAGACGGTGTGAAGTGTGAAGTGTCAAAAAAAAAAAAAGGAGCTTAATGGCTCATCCCTTAGAGCAGTTACTGAACCCATCCCTGGAATACCTGATCCGGGCCCACTCCATGGACCGCTAGTGAGCCCTTCTTTGTAATGGGCTTTGCGCTATTGTTCAACAATTGAATTGTCATTGATAGAGTCGTTACAATGTTCTTCCTAATGTGTTTCGGTTTGTTCTTAACAGGACCCAAACTGTGAATTAATTAAAGAATACGACTTGTCACAGTAAGTGTGAAGTCTAAAGCCATCCATGAACGAGAGAGTACAATTAGGAAGTAAACAAAACACTCAGAAGGTGTCCATTGTCAGGAAGATTCAGACGAGAGAAAGACAGGTTACCACCAAGTTGATTGGAACTCAGTTGTTCCTTTGTTAATTCTCGATCAGTTAATGAAAGAAGCTAGTCAAAAGGCATTGAAACAAGCACGTGACTCTGATGTTGCGTCTCCTTCCTTTGAGAGACCATCGAAGAGGGTCCCTATACTTTTTACGTGGACCCTTTTTTTCTCGAGAATCGTGATTTGATTTTTTTTTTCGTGAATCATGATTGAAGATGATAAGATCTTTTTATGTCCATGTGAACTAATTTTTTCTAGATGAACGCGACTTAACTTGTGAACAAAGAGCTGAATGAAATGTGATTCGCGAACCAACTTAGTTTTGCGTGATGAATTCCCTGCTTTTTTTGTTTTGAAAATGTACGTATTGTTCTCAAACGGCTGGTTTTGACCAGGGTTTTGGAAGGACATGGACTTCTTATGGATCGATACATAATTAAAATTTTTTTTTTTATTTATATGTAAAACGTGATCGTGTCAAATTTCGCGTAAAAGGGAAAGAATCTCAGTTGGATATTATTAGTGATGCGCGAACAGGCCAAATATTTTTACGTGAATGAGTTTTACAAAGGGGTAAAGGGAACCCTCATTGAAAACAAGTACGCATTCCTTCTTTTTTCGTTTCGCCACGAATAGAAATAGCAAGAATTTATGTAGCATTATAAAAGTAAAGCAGACAGATACGATACGTAGTTACTCACTTTACCCACAGAGATTAGTTAGGTTTAGATCATCTTTATGTACAGTTGACGGCAGATTACCTGCGCTGTCTATGATGTGAGTATTTAGCGTTGAAGCCGTGATTGTACACAAACCGTTTTCAAAGCTCTTTTTTTGGCTTAGTATTGTTCCTTCCAACCTGTCGTGCGCAACGATTGGAATGGCAACGTTTCGCCGTTGCAGAGACATTTTGTAGTTTTTTGAAAGCGAGTGTTCATTTAGTACTGAACGCAACGAGAACAGTTAGGTAGCTAGCAGCGCTCAGTGAAATGTGTCTAGGTTTCATTCCTACCAACTAACTATCTATCGAGCATATTATTTTTATTAATGTTATGTTCCTTGTACTCATCAGTTTTCGCGAATTGTTCGTGGCTGGTGAACACATGGACAAAGATACCATGCAGTGGGCCAGGAGGGCCATTAGTGCACCGGTTTATGACAACTGGTGGCAGACTGGTAGGTCCTTTGACGGAGCATTCTTTTATCTGTTCAAGTTGGAAAAAAAATTCAGATCTTTTAGCTGATTTTATGTGGTAGTAACTTCGTTGGCGGGTAAAGCAATGTTTTAACTGTAATTTGCCAGTCTTCTTCAGGCAATAAGGTCGAATGGTTAACCGGCGCGGTTCTCCCTGTCGTGGGATTAAGATTTGCAGTCTACAGTCGAAACGTTGTAATCGCACAAGGGAAGTGACTTCATCTGGAGACATTTTCGAGTATCGATCGTGTTTCCACACAGGGGGCCCACACAAGCGGCGTGTCTGGTCGTTTGTTCGAAATATAAAGAGTGATGTATGGGAGAATATTGAAGAGTCGTAATATCGTAAACTTATAGCGAGGAATGTCTATGTTAAGGCTCAAAATAAATGTACAGTATAGTATACAGTATAATATACAGTAGATACAGTCAACGCAAAATCTACCAAATCGCTCAAATTCGCCATTTAGAACCACAGAAACGACAATACACCGCAAGTGAGGTAGGTTTACATTTATTTTGAGCCTTAACATAGACATTCCTCGATATAAGTTTACGACTCTTCAATATTCTCCCATACATTTCTTTATATTTCGAACAAACGACCAGACACGCCGCTTGTGTGGGCCCCCTGTGGTTTCCATAGAGATATCGAGAGGTCTTATAGAGGTATTAATGAGCCACGTCTGTGTAATGTTCATAATTAACCTGTGTTGTCTCCTTGTTGGCGCTACTATCGGCAATGTTGAACGTCTTCTATATGGCGAAAGCCGAGAAAGAGTGATTGGTAAACTGAACTTCGATCATCCAATAAAAAAAGCTGTTTTACCTCAATCAAGAGCCCGGTAAACTGGAAAAGATCTGGGTCAAAAGTCATTCGAAAGGGGTTAACGTTAATCTAGGATTAAAAGGTAACCTTGGCTTTCATTTCTCATGTAGAGGAGCGTATATAAGCTAAGGTTTTATTGGGCTTTATCTCAATTTGACTAAAGGGGAAAAAATCCAAAAGAAAAATCACTTTGCAGAACTATAAATCGAAATTAGAAATTTACACTAACTTTGGGCTAGGTTAATCATGTCCTGAACAACCCAGCCCTGAGTCAGATGGAACCAATGTTTCCTGTATTTAACGATTTGATAAATTTAGAAGCCCTTTTTTGTTTTGGAGAGTCCACCACGGACGCCTTGATTTATATCCTACAGGCGATACATGAGGCAACAGATAGCGGGAACTGTGGACTGAGTTAGAATGTTCTTTGCTGATTACTCAAAGGCCGGGCTTTGACTTGATTGATCATTCCATTCTTCTCAAGGAGTTGGCATTTTTCCATATAGATACTGTGTTAATTAACTGGATTAGGGCCTTCTTGACTGAGAGATCGCAAGCTGTAAGGATTGGGAACTCTCTGTCTGATTGGAAATCACCCAGAGGAGGCATCCCGCAAGGGACGAAACTGGGTGTGATTTTGTTCGCTGTGATGACCAACAATCTTTTGCGTGACTGACATTTAAGAATTAAATTCGTTGATGATACCACGGCATTGAAAATTTTACCAAGGAATGGTAATTAGCTTACTAAATGTAGCTGCCATTGACATCCACAAGTTTTCCATAGAACACAATATGAAATTAAATCCGAAAAAGTGTAAAGAAATGTTATTCAACTTCATGCAAAATGATAATTTTACTACAAGACCAAGTGTCCTAGGTAACAACTCAGTTTAACATGTGACAACTTATAAATTACTCGGTATTATTATCAGTAATGATTTAAAGTGGAGTGAGCATATGGATTATATTTCGAAAAAAGCCTCGAAACGCCTGTATTCCCTAAGGATTCTAAAAAGAGTTGGTGTTAATAGAGGTGAAATCCTTAAGGTTTACCTGACAACAATACTACCTATATTAGAATACGGTGGGCAAGCCTGGCAAGATATTCCTGAATTTCTTTCTAATAAGCTCGAATCAATTCAAAAGAGGGCTCTACATATTATCTATCCATGCCATAGATATTTAAATGGCCTTTATACTACTAACCTTGACAGCCTGAAAGAAAGACGAACTCAGCTCTGCTGTAAATATGTTCAGAAGTTGTCTAAAATATCCCACCCCATAAACTTTCTTATACCGAGAACAGCAACGAGTGATCATAGTTACAACCTTCGATCCGGCGACAACAACAGAAGTATTGTTTACGCTGATAGGAATAGTTGCCGGACCCAGCGTTCAGGTTCCTTTATCTCTTTTAATAGTGAATATGCAAACATGTAGATAGTTAATTAAGACATTTTTATTGTTCTTATAGTAAATGTAGTTTTAATTAATTATTGATTGTAAATTTAGCCCTTTAATTTAGTCAATTCTGCAATGTGGCAAATAAACGGTAAATTATTATTATTATTATTATTATTATATATCGCTTTAAAAGTGTACACGATGTATCGCATTACTTGCTTAAGCAATTTTGATCTGCGGTATACAAATAGATATAGAGGATTTGCTTTAGTGTTTGATTGCAAATTAACCACAGATGAATGGAAAAGTTATCTTAGACATAAACACATAAAATTTCAGCTTTACTCTGTTTAATACAGAAACTGGCTGGGCCATCACAGCACACGCTGTGGGCCTGGGGCGACCCATGGATGAGCATTTACAGACAACTGGAAAAGCAGTTCCAGGATACAATGGTATGTGAACATAACTTTGTTCAAATTGTTGATTTTGTTATGAAATCCCATGAAATGCCTCAAGTAACCATTTTTAATGAACCAAGCCACTGTTGGTGCTCCATTCGGCCTCGAGCAGGGTAACCGGAGAAACCACACCCACAGATTAGCACGTCAGACTTGGTATCCAGAGGTCTGGGTTTTAACCCGGGCTTGGGCTTAGTGTTTTGCTCTAAGACAATACATTTAGCTCTCATAGTGTCCATGAAGTATGGATGGGTGCCGTAAAACTGTCAGGAATAATGGGGGGATACCTTACGATGAACTGGCATTCTATGCAGTGGGTTGCAATTTTACTCATCGTTTCCTTCTTCAGAAGCCGGCATATAACCTAGAAAGATAGGCTTATCATAAGGTTACGTCCCTTTTTTGAATCGACAAGACACAAAACATAGGTGAAATATTGATGAAACCGAATAACGTCTGATTTGCCGCTCATTTAGAACAGTTGAGTGTACCGTCTGCTTTCAGTGAAAATACTCAAGGAAGACTTAACCGAAGCAGACCGGGGAGATCTGGGCCAAGTCGTTGTCAAGTAAGGCCGAGCTAAATGATCTTTCTTTGATACAAGGTTTTGAATTTGTCCTTTACTACATGTCTCCTTGTTTGATACAGAGGGCTATAGAAGGGGCTCTTCTCATTTTAGGCTTCCGCTTCCTCCTGGAACAATGGCGACCCTTTGGAAGGCTGACGACAGATTCGTCAAAACATATTTCACTAAATATCCGGTATGTTAGCACTGTACACCTTCGTAAGATAACATGAATTGTCTTGTTATTGGCCAGTATGTTGATACGTCATCTCTTGCTTCTGTTATGGTCTACATTCTGTTAGGGATATTACGACTCTAGTGACGACGGTGTTATGGATGACGATGGATTTGTGTCAATCATGGCACGCACTGATGACGTCATTAATGTAGCAGGCCACAGGATCTCCACTAAATCTCTAGAGGAGGTAAGACATTCATTGCTTTCATGCTTCATGTTTTTTTCAAATGAAAGTGTCCATTTACCAAGGTTGGCATGTTCGTTTCGAATGCTTCAACCACAATAAAACTTATATTGTCATAATGTTGTTATTTTCCTTCTGTATTCTTAGGGAATGATTCGTCTCGATTTTGTGATCGATGCAGCATGCGTTGGACTTGAAGACCCGATTAAGGGTCACTTGCCAGTTGGATTTATAGTCATCGATAAAAGTATGTAAATGAGTTACTGAAGAAATAGGGCGAGGAGATGGTTATTCTTTTTAGTTCAGTTGAATTGATTTCTCTGTTTCATCCCAAAGCGAGTGGTGTTTCCCGAGAAGATGCAATCGAACAAGTCATTCAGAGTGTGCGTGAGTTTGTTGGTCCTGTGGCGGCATTTAAAACTGCTATTGTTGTACCAACTCTTCCCAAGGTATGTCAAAACAATCATACAGCGAGTAAACTGTCATTGTTCTTCACTTTTATCATCGTTGCAGCCTTGATACAGAATTCATCTCTAACTGTATAATGTGCATCTCAATACTTGTTAACCTGCTGCTGATCAGAATACCACTTCAGTACGAAACTCTAGTCTCCAGTCATACAGACTCGAGATTTCGGGCACATGTATTAGTTTTGCTATTCATCGTCGTGACTTAGGGAGTGACGGAATGGACCTTTATTTCATTTGACTCCCCACCTTGAAATAAGAAGGCGATGATTTATATTGATCAACCTCCACTCCAGTATTAGACCAATTAGAGACCCCTTGCTAGCTTGCCTTGCTCAACGCCTCAGTCATACTTTCCCGTGGGCAAATAGACGCACGTGCCGAAGCTTATCAGTGTACTGTGGGCCTGCTCGCAAGCTATATTCTGGCTTGAGAGGATGTTAATATTCCAACAGAGTGGTTTAGAAAATTAAAGCCATTTTGACTCACTCAGTTTTTCAATCGCTGAAAACGTTCTTACGGTTTCAATAAACCCAGCAGTTCGTCTGTGCTGAACTACTGTGGCACGTGTTGGTAGGTAAATGAAGACTTTTCTTCCTTCCCTTTACCTTCAGACCCGCTCTGGAAAAACTGTGAGAGGTGTTCTTTCCAAAATCCTTCATGGCAAAACATATAAAGTGAGTAAATTTCGTTTGTTCTTTAGGAATATTTTTTTTGCATGGTTTTTTTCTCGTAACGCAAAGATCCTCATTGATGATTTTCTGTTTGCGGAGTGGTTCGTGACATCGAAAAACCCTCGTTAGAACCAGCCACGAATCAACCATTCTACTGCTTTTAGCATATATACTTACCCATACATGATATTTTTTGTTGGTTTTTGGTTTCAATGCAGTTTTTTCCTCTTAACGTCTATAGATTACTCCAACAATGGAAAACCCGCACGTTTTAGAGGATATTGAAGCAATTGTACGCGAAGAAGGAATCATTGAAAGGACACTGAAATAGCGAAACGGTTATTCTGCAGAATGTAGGAAACACTTAGGAAATGACATATTTTAGTTTTGATAGATCGGAAGATTATTAATAGAAATTATATAAACCAACCAAACAAATGAAGTGTATACCTTCATTAACCCGAAGAGTGACTTTCACACAAAGATATCGATGGGAACCATAAGAGCCATAGTTACGGATAGGGAGTCAACGAGTTTATAAAGCTTTATTAGCTGAAGCGCGCGGAATTCTACGTTTCAGCTTACTTCTAGCCTTTTTTTTTTTTTTTCGTTCTCCATCACCGTTCAATTGTATTTGCCATATGGGAACTCATTATATAGAAAGTAGCGCCGTTGGACCATTTAACTCTGGTTGGACGGACGTCGTGATTGGTTATTAAATGTCTCTCAGTTGCAGAATGTCCTCAAGAAGGGGGGGGGGATGATAGGTGAATTACTCTCCCTTTATATTCTATCGCTTCTCTTTGAAGCGAAGTTGGCAAACAACACGAATGGCAACCTACCTGTGAGTATCAAAACAGATGTAGCTGTACGGAGAAATAATAAAATATCATGAGCCAAAATGGTAGAAATGCCTTGCACTGATAACCGTTGGGCGTCATTCTCGTTTCTGGAACGCCTTGAACTGAATCTCGTTTTGCCTGTTATCTCGAAAGTACTTTTCTCGTTCATGTCCTTCTCCGTTTCGTCTCCACGCGCATATCAGCTTGATTCCTCTCCGCTTTTAGACCTCCTTCTCTTTTGTAACTTTCATATCTTATTAGAGACGTTTTTGCGTTGTACAGAATCCTTTTGTGTCGGACTAAACAATTGCAAAAGTTGTGGAAAGCAAGATAGTGAACCGGCAATCTTCCCTCGCGTTTACCATCTGGGGACTGTTTTAACTTCAGAAACCTTTATGATTGTTAGTAGTTGAAAGTTATCATTTTGAAAATTGGTATAGTATTTCATGGCGCCTTTGACTTTTAACTTACGGTAATGATTCGATGCAGCACCCGGGGCGCCCTTCTACCTTTGGTTCCTCAAGTTAGGGCGCCTATTCGAAATAGGGCAGTTAGAGGGGATGGGGCACTCATCGGTATTTCTTTTTTGAGAAACACCAGGGTGCATGTGCAAAACGGAGTATTGATGTTTCTTCAAAAAGGATCAAGGAGACTGGAAAACGGACTTGTTGTCCTTGGATCCTTCCTTCATGGAACGACCAACCAGGCAATCGTCACAGAATTTTATAACGAGGTCGTTGGTTTGAAGGAGTACTCATAAACATAAAAGTTGAGAAACTGAGACGAAGATCAGTGTTTTTCTTACGAGGCTTTACGTGAGCACGGAAGAGGAACCACCGCTGATCTTAATGTACATGTACGATAACAGTGCTATCTCTGAAACTGAATGGAAGCGCTTATTCTAAAACAGCAAACTAGCAAGTCGTTTGACATTTCTAAACAAACATCTCATATTCCTGGGAAATGTAAAAGAACCTTTCGATGAAAAATCCGTGAACATTTCTGACTGCTGGGCACTTAGTCTATTTTAGGCCCTGTCTACATGGGAAGAGGGTGCCCCCAGGGGATAGGGTTACCCTACTTGGTAGGGTTGAAGATACCGAGCGTTTACATGGTAATTTGAAACCCTAGGGGCGAGGGCTGACACTATAGCCAGGTCACCCAGCAAGGAAAACAAC